GATTTGTGGCGATTTATAAACAACAATTGAGCAAAGAATATCCTTTTCAGTAATCTCTTCTGGTTCTGCAATTATATATATACATATATATATATTTATATACACAGGATATTCTAGGACAATCGACATTACCAATATTGGTGTCTTTATACATTATAGATTTGTTGAGATCAATGAAATTACAGTTCAGGAAAAACGCTTAAGTTATAATAAGCATAAAAAATTTAATAGCCGATAGGGAATCAAGTAAATTTAAGGAAATCTCTAAAAAAAATTAAGAATTTCAAGTGTTGGTTTGTAGGGATTTGATTGGTTTCAGGAAATCATCAATCTGATCCACACTAGAGACTGGCCCTATTCAGGTAGCTGGATTCTAGTGGGAAGTCGTGAACAGTGGAGTACAGAAGGCCATTGGGTGTGAGGACAAATACTCACCACCTGTGACATTCGGTAGTGGTCGCGCCATATCGTGATGAATTGGCAGTAGCTGGAACTCATTGGTCGGTGATTGAATAGGGTCCCGGTGGCTTAATAGTCTACGAGCTGGCCTCGTAATCAAAGGTTCTGGATTGGAAGCCTTTTGATTGAGTGCGTATTGCTGAATAAGAGTCCCAAAGTGGTGTAACGAAACAGCTGTCCAGTACTCCTCTAACTGATGTCAATTCATAATGAAATCCTATAGCCATTCAAATCATTGCAAACCAACACTTGAACATTATAAAACATTCAACTATCCTGTCCAACAAACTGTTAATAGTGGGTTCTAAAAAGTAGCCAGCTTACGAATTCGGAGTTAGCTGTTGTGTTGTGTTCCCTCACTTTCTGGTGAACAAAAATCAGTAGGTTCTGTATTAACAATTGTGGAGACGCTTATGCTCTTTCTACGATATACCATCCCTGATGTACACCTACACTACAGGTGACAGTAAAACTCAAGTAGATATATAAGCTCAGTGGATTCCTACATCACTATTTTTTTCCTAAATAACATCCCCAGTATTTCAAGGAAGTCACTTTTTTGATGTATTTAGACATCTACAGGTGGACTACATGGATGAAGATTTCAAAAGGCAGACAGGATCCGATAGGTAAGACAGATCTTCACTAATTCCAAAATTAGTGTGGAAATCGACTGCACTAAGTATAAGAAACAAGATTCAGATTTTCAGCACTGATGTCAAATCAGACAGTTCATACATCAAATCCATATTTTTTTCAAATTCATTCACGATTTGCAACTGACACAATTAGAACAGGGGAAATACCCCTACAGTTTCCTTTAGAAACCAAATTGTTCAAATCACAGTATATGATCTGCTTGAAATCACTAACGGTTATCAAAATATCAAATATATTTGCATAATTTTCAAGAATTGGTTTTGCAGGGATTTTGTTTGATTGCATGGAGGATTTCATCATGAGCTGAAATTGGTTAGAGAACCATTGGAAAACCAACTGGGAGTACCGGACAGCTGTTTCGTCAGCCTAGTTTGGGACTCTTCATCAGTACGCACCCACCTGGCGGGGTTCGAACCCAGGACCTTCTGGTCACAAGGTGAGCTCGTAGATCATTGAGTAGACTATCGAGTCCCAGTGGCTCAATGATCTACGAGCTCGCCTTGTGACCAGAAGGTCCTGGGTTCGAACCCTGTCGGTGGGTGCGTACTGATGAAGAGTCCCAAACTAGGACGAAACAGTTGTCCAGTACTCTAAGGTTTTCCAATGGTTGTCTAACTGATATTTGCATAAAACTATATACTATTGATCGATTCAGATGGATAGTTGTATACCACTCACACTAACCAGTGGTACTTGATAGCTAAATCGACATGACCTGAACACCGGACGACCGTTTTGCTCGTTTTAAGTCCAGCTCATCAGTGGTGCATCCCATTTGAATCAGCTCAGAGAGCCGAATCAGTTCAGTCAGTTCCTCTGCATGTTTGAGAGACTTTGTGTGTGTCACTAGAATCAGTTAGAACAGGGACTAGACATTTATTAAAAGCTCCCTTCGCTTGCTGAATACTGAAAATTATATATAGCCGTCTGTAAAGCATATTGGCAACAAGTAACTCTGCAGTGCAACGAATCAAAACCATTAGCCAATCACCCAACAAATATGCCAAAAAAAGAGATGGATCTGACACACTGAGAAGAATGTTGAATGACATCACATCCCCGACAGTTAGTCGAGTGAAACTGAGATGGGAAACAACGACTTTGTAGTCAGTCCGAAGATGATATGGAAGAGAATATGTGAGAAGGAGATGAAAGCCTATAGGCGGCAGTCGTAGAACAATTACAGAAGGATTCAGAAAACGCGACGAAATGGGAATGTGCTAGTTTTCAAGAATCGGTTTGTAGGGATTCTATTTGTTTCAGGCTAGAACACGGATTGATATCAGTTAGAGAACCATTGAAAACCATCACTGGACTACTTGACAGCTGTTCCGTCCTAGTTTAGGACTCATCAGCATTACACACCCACTGGGTTTCGCAACCAGGACACTCCGGTTACAAGGCAAACTCGTATATCATTCAGCCACTGGGACCCGATTCAATGACCCATAATGCTCACTAGTGACTGGGTGTACAGGACGAAATTGCCTGGAGTTCTAGTGAGAAGTCGTCACCAGTGGGATCCATCCAGTCGGCGGGAGTGAGGATCCAGTTCCCACCGATGACATTAGTTGGTGGTCGTGCTAAAATCACGAATCAGTAGAAGTTAGAATTCACATGGGCTGGCCATTGAATCAGGTCCACATAGCTAAATATGATTTGTAATGAATGAGGTATCTGGTAGCCCAAGATTTAAGGAGGCCGCCAAAGTCCAAGTATCTTGGACTGAGTATTTCCTCCGATCTTTCCTGGTCCTCTCACATCTTGCTAGTTACTAGAAAGATGTTTCGCTTAACGTTCTACGTTAGGAAGTTAAGACAGTCTGGTATAAAGCAGTCTTTGCTTGCTCAGTTTGTCAGTTCTTGTATTCTAACCATCCCTCTTTACTGCTCCCCATTAATCTTCCCTGGATAACTTCAGAAAGACTTTGCTTTGCTGCGTAGGGCAATAAAAGCTGTTAGTAGAGGACCTGGTCTTTCGTTAAACCAACTGGTTAACACCATTTTGGATAGACATATAATGTCATGGAAGAAACTAGCGAATTCTATATTGTCAGACCCCGAACACCCTCTCAATACGCAGCTCTCTCCTTGCATTTCATCTGGTAGAACTAGAAGCAACTATAGGAGGCTATATGTCAGGACTACAAAGTACAAAATCTCCACAATACTTTATCTGGCACAGCTGTTATGTGATGAGAAAACTGTTAGGTATGACACGATCAACTTGCTGCGGCACTCTAACAAATAGTTCCCATTCGCTTTTGTTTCTCCTTTCTTTGTTACTATTATATTGTTGCTCACATATTCTATTACACACTAATTTTATATTTCATATCCTGTGGTGCATTGTTTAAAATGTGAATGCAATGCCGTTCTTTTTTTAATTTCTTTAATTTCTCTTTTTTCTTTTGTTGTTGTTGCTTCTTATTTTTAAAATCTTATAAAAATGTATGAGGTAATTAAATGCAATATTGTAATGAACGCTGAAAAATTCCATACCTGTACCACAAATACTGTTTGGAATAAAGCTATTATTATTATTAATAGTATACCAGCTTACCTTGTAACCGGAAGCTCCTGGTTTCGTAACCTAGTGAGTGAGTGAGTGCTTACTGCCGATGAGTCGCAAACTAGGCTGATGTACTAGCTGTCCAGTACTTCCTGATTTTTAATGGTTCTTTAAAACTGATAACAATCCATGGTCAAAAAATAAAATCCTATTTTGTATTCAGACGCCTTAAAGACGATCAATGAATAACAGAATTTTTCTTCGTGAATATTTTTTTATTTCAAATAATTATAATATCAATAATAATAATAATAATAGTAAGATAATATAAATATCTGCTGCACATTGTCATCACCATCTTCATAATCATCATCATCATCATCGTCAACACCATGAACAACAACATCAGATTGAATCAAACTATAGAAAATCAATATTATTATTACTAATAATAATAATATTAATAGTATTGGTAGCAGTCGTAGTAGTAGTGGTAATAGTAAAGGAAAAAATTATACACTCATACATGCATGTGTAAGCAATACATAAACACCATCATCATCAGAAATAAACTTAAATTTTTGAAAAAAACAACAACAAGTAAGTGAGATGCTGATGAGGTCAACAAGGAGAAATCGCCTATTTCTTTTTCGCTTGAACAATCAAAACACATGTGAAAATAAAATTCTGGATAAAGTGAAATAATTTAATAATAATATATAATAATTAATAATTAATTTATGCTTCTTATCAGTAGTATCAGTAGTAGTAATCTAATGAACGACAGTGCATGAAAAGTATTCTCCTGTGTCTCTTCATGCAACTTTACTACTAATCATAGAAAATAAAGTAATATATATATGTATATATAATGAGCAAATAACAATGCGTAAACAAACCCTAATCAAAAAAACAGGAGAAAACGGCAGAAACAACAATCCAATGCTGCATAAACAATCAAATGAAATGAAATGATGGAGTGATTACGTAACTTATTGGTTGAATAACAACATCAGCAGTATCCGTAGTAACAGAAGGCCAAACAAGGAGAAGAGGGGAGGAAATTAACAAGATAATCAGCAGTTTATCCGAATGACAAGTACACCAACCAATCTTGTAGTTAGTGAGTGTACTTGTTTGATTAAAGCTGGCTCGCTGGCTGATTGGCTGGCTGGCTGGGTAGTTGAGTAAGCAGCAGTATGTAAATAGATTAGTAGACATTGTTTACTCTCCTTCTCCTTCTTCTTTTTTTGTTGTTGTCTTCTTCACCTTCTCAAATTATCTAAAAAATATTACGAAAAATCTACAAGAGAGAGAGATTCAGCTACTAAAGCTACAGCACCCAAAGATATACACTACTTAAATAAGATTGAAGGTAGAAAGTCTATTTATCTGTTTCAATTTCATTTCAATATAAATATATATATATGTATATGATAGGAAAGAGTAAGCGAAAGTGAGAAAGTAGTGTACACACTAGTGAAGTGTTTTTCATTATTTAACTAATTCATCAATGTAACAATTACAATTAAAAATTGATTGTAAGTAATAAAATTATGAGCAATTGAAGAAAACATCACCACCACCACCACGAAGAACAACAGCAACAACAGAAAATAATAATATAAGAAGGAAGAAATGAGGCAACAAGTGTGTGTGTGTGTGAGTAAAAGTGAGTATATTCTATGTTGATATATCTCGACTAGACGACAGAGATGAATCAAATTTCACACTTCGATTGTGACTATCTCTAGCTGGCAAGCAAGCAGCAAGCAAGCGTTCCTTCTTTCTAAACATTCTTCTCTTCTACTGTCTTAACAATTATTAGAATTGTAAGACTTTTGATTGGGCTTCAAAAATCTAAGAAGTAAAGTTAAACAGAGACATTTAAGAAAAAAAATTAGCACCACCGATCAGCACAATACTATACTTATCAGTCAATGAATAGTGTGTCATCTACAATCTGTGGGAACTGTCTATTAAACCCTCCGTTGCAGATTAGCACTACTCATAATTTCTAAAATAACAGAAAGCAATCCAATCCTGTAACCAATCAACCAAATCCCTACAAACCAATACTTGAATATCAATGAGATGCGCACTGGCGACTGGCCCTATTCAGGTAGGTAGTTACCTGGGGTTCCAGTGGGAAGTCGTGACTAGTAGGGTGCAGCAGGTCGGGTGTGAGGACAAATACTCGCCGAAGACATTGGCTAGCGGTTGCGCTCTATCGTGAGGTCCAAGTGGCTTAATGGTATACGAGCTTGCCTCGTAACCAGAAGGTCCTGGGTTCGAACCCCACCAGGTGGGTGCGTACTGATGAAGAGTCCCAAACTAGGATGAAACAGCTGTCCAGTACTCCCAGGTTTTCCAATGGTTCTCTAACCAATGTCAGCTCATGATGAAATCCTGTAACCAATTCAATTACTATCTTATTGTGAATCAATTGTGGATTTCTCTAGCTCTTACAACACTGTGTCGCATGAACTTATTTCGATAAACAGTCATGATCATTCGACCAGCCACTGTAATGCACCATGTATTCTTTTACTCACTTCAGAATGAACCTTTATATATTATATTCATGTATATCAATAACTCATTCATTGGAAAGCAAATTTAGATAGAGTTGTGAATAATTTCAAAATACCCGACCATGACCAATTTGACTAAACAACACTTTTATTGTGGTTATAAGTGAAAGTAAGACTCAAATATCTATCTGTCTGTCTGTTTTCGACATAGAACTTTGCACCAATGTGCAGAGTTCAAGTCACCACACTCCCTCCATGTAGCACACAAAGCAAGAGAAGAAAGTAGAAGAAATGCATAATAGAGACAGTAGACAGGGATATGAGACAAAGGAATAGTAATAACGAAGACCAATATAGTTTCATTGGAAATCATAAGTCACAAGGAGTGGATGCATCTCCGCCAACCATTGAAAACGATTTTGAGACAGCCATATCATCGATTGTCTCCAGCCTTCATTGCTTTTAACCATCCCGAAGACCACAACCAGTCTGGACGAAATAACCTGCCCCTCACAATTATGCTTTTTCCCAAGCTTAGTAAGAACTAACCAACCAGCAGGTGTTTATAAACACTTTAAATACTCGCGAGAGTAAATCTTACCACTAGAGGTCATATTTTAATAGATTAAAACAAAGTGTAAACAAGAGAAATTAGATATGCAATATAGTCATGAAGGTATCTGATAGCCAAAGTTTCAAACAGGACGCCGTGGATCATGGTTGGTTTATTTTTCTTTTATTTATCCTTTTTTTCCTCTACGTTCCAAGTGGAACATAGGGCTTCAAGCTAGAGGTTTGAAGTTTCAGGAATAGTGGTGTTGATTTTTACGGGATGGGATTACTATCCTCATGCCCAACCTTCTCTCTTTACCAGTCTTATTACTGGCTTAGTGAGGTGAAGGAGTGCGTCGGTGGTCGGTGATCGAACCAGTCGGTGAGCATTCTACCATTGTGCCACCGACGCTTTATATTTTAAATGTTTATATATATTTAATGCTAAAACCATCTGTATAAACATTTATTGTTCTTAGACACATGAAATAGAAACTATTGCCAAGATTGAATACAGTGACAATTGTTTACTGTCTCCTTAATGTAACGAAAATCATTCATCAACACAATGAATAAATTTAACACCGAATACGCATACCTTCGAACATGCATATTGTCGGCTCAACTACTTTACTCACGACGGCTATATGAGAATAATATAACAATTGAGGTGTAGTACAATGTCGTCTTGCTCACACATTTTGTAAAATCAATCAATCACTGACTTTGTTACAATACCATTTGCCAATAATAATAGTAATAATAATAACAAAACATCCAATATATAATCCATGTAAAATGTACAATGGTCAACTCGAGTTAATCTCATCATCTAATGAAAGTTATTCACCACTTTTGGCATGAGGTTGGTTATTGGAATCACAACAAACAAACAAACATGCCAAGTCGACGTCACGATCAAAATAACAAAGTGAATAACAGTTCAAGTTCAAATCATACAAAATCTTATAAACAGATACACACACACAACGGAACAATACTTAGAAATATTTGTGTATTAATAAACAAGTAACATTTTGAAAGATAAATAAGTTAGTTTTAAAAAAACAAACATTATAAATAAATCTAATTAGTTCATCTTAAAATTAAGACTGTTAAATTCTGACTAATCTAACTAGGGTAGACATCCGCACATTCGACTGTAATTAATTAGACAGTTCTGTGGCCTTTCAAACATTAGTTTCTTAAGGTACACTGTCAGTGGCTTTCTGCTGTTATATGCTTCTTAAGCGTTTGAATGGCGTCATTAGAAGACGAGGTTTATCTGAAGATTGTGATGTGATTGCACAATGTGCTGAGGCAATAGCTTTCCGTGAAAATAAGTTCCACACCCCCACTACTGTGTGTGCGAGAAAAGAATTTATTATCACCCTTCATCTACCTTGGTAATCCTTATCTGATCATATACTACCAAAATAGTGTAGTATTAAGCATTATCCAACTTAATAATCTTAGCACGCATACGAAAAGCTCCTTTTATCATCTCTCGCCTAGATGTGATATCCGGCTATCGAACAATGGACGTGTGTACTGACCAGCATTTGGCTCTGTCCATCTTTGTGGCTGTAAGACATGGCCATTGAAAGTGGAAGATATGAAGAGGCTGACTGGGTGTCTTAGGTCATAGGTGTCTGAGTTCTGTCTCAAGTCTTAAGTGGTATGAGGAGTGTTAGGAAAAGTCTATTGATGAGGTTGTCAAGCTTCATAGACCGAGTTGGTTACATGTTTTACGCCTACCGATTCACAAGCCTCCTCAACGAACAATGTTAGCTGATGTAGGATTACGTTGAGAAAGACTTTCAGGTGGTCAGAAGAATATATACGGAATCAATTTATGAAATCTCTGACTGGCGTTTTCAGCCAAGTGGAGGGGGTGAATACTATCTCGTTGAAGTCTTCGGATTTATGAAAATCAATATCAGTGCGTTATCGTTTTGCATATTTTAAGTGGTTTTTCATTTTTCATATAGTTTGATTTGGCTGGTAAATATATATGTGATCAGACTGTTCGAAATGTATTACACAAACACATCACATTTTTTTAGATAAACTCGGTCTTTTACTAACCCTGCCCGAATTTATTGAAGGGAATAAGTGTTGTCAATGCGTGTTAAAATCTGCTTAAAAATTTACAAGTCTGTCTTGTAACTATCATCCGTGTTCCTAATAACCTACAATTAATTGAAAACGCCCCATATACAGTAGAAAATATATTATACAGTATTTATCTATAAAACCACCAATAGAGATCAGAATTTGCGTAAGTTGTGACAACAGTTGAAGCCTAGGTATGTTTATTCAAAGGGAACACTTACAACGTGAAATTATCAGACTGAACACAATGTACCAATTGTTATGTAACTTTATTTTTTTTCTTTCCTTCACGTTCCCCAGTGGAACATAGGGCTTCAAGCTAGTGGCTTGAAGTTTCTGTAGCAGTGTTTATTTTACAGGATGGGGTTGCTAGCCTCATGCCCAACCTTTCCTCTTCACCAGCATTATTTCTGGCTTAGCGAGGTAAAGGAGTGCGTCGGTGGCCGGGGATCGAACCCCGGACCATGTGCACGGTCGGCGAGCGTCCTAACCGCTATGCCACCGACGCACCTATTACTATAATTATAATTTATAAATCTGCATAACCATCCTCCTGGTTCTTTTCAACTTTAATTTCCTGCAGTTTACTATTTCCATGATTACTTGTTATTATTATTATCATTATTATTATTATTACTAATAATATTCCTAATTGTGGTGGACTGGACTGGACGGAAGACTGTGCATGGAAGTGAGAACATAGGAATACGTTGGAACGATTAGACGACTCCATCTACAAGATCTAGATTTCGCAGATGTTTCATGTTCAATGTCACACACACTCGAAGACTTACACGCGAAAATCAACAAACTGGCTGAAGAGGTGGCAGCGAAGACAGGACTCCAAGTGAGCATAGAGAAGGTCGAGACGGAAGTGATGAAAATAACCAACCAACAACCAACACTAATCACCAACAAAGGGGAAGACTTGGAAAAGGTCACCTCTTCCACTTATCTGGCAAGGAAGCACGGTTTCAATCACAAGTGGATGGCACCGATGAAGCCAGCCAGAATCGGAAAGACAAGATATGCCTTCATCAACCTGAAACCAGCTAGCATAAAGAACAACATTCAGATTCTGTTCAGTACGAGTGTGAAGTCAGTCAGTCACTCCTTCTAAACGGGTCAGAAACTTGGCCAGCGTATCATAAAATGAATTTCCAATAAGTTACAGACTTTTATCAACATCTCCCACCTTCGCTGGCTGGTTACATACTGAAGATCAAATGGCCAGCCGGCTGCCCAGAAACAGTTAGCAACAAGAAACTCTGCATTGTGAACAACCAACGTAGAACTAATCGCCTAATGAATATTCTGAAGAAAACAGAGATGGACCAAATACAGGCTGAAAAGACTGTTGAGTGACATCGTGGCATCATGCCATCACCGATGAGACCCAAATGGAAAACAGCCAGTTGGGCATAAGTCCCAGTGTGACAACACGAAGATCGTATGGGGACGACATGAAAGCTCGTGGTCGAACGTAGAACTAACTAAACACCACCGCAAAGAAGATAACACAAAATGGAGATGTCCTGTTGAATCCCTTTGTTCCAACCGGAACCCAAGGGAATAGTATTAATAATGCAATATATAAAGATTAGAGATATTTCATACTTTAACTAATGAGAGATATACTTGAGGGAAATATCACAACCAGTCTATACGTGTCATAAAAAAGCCGGATATGAAACTATCTCGGACGAAACTGAAATGATATGCAGAAAATCATTCAGCAAACCTATTAACTCCTTTCAAATAGAATGCAAGAAGCCGAATTGATCGACGTTTAAATTATAGATGTGAAAAGTAACAGTCGGTCCCTAGATTCCTGATTGCCAGTGACAGTGCAATCAGACAAATGAAGTATTGAACTAACAAACTACTCAATTACTATGCAACAGCACAGAAGATTAAGAAGTCAAGCAGTCAGTGTATTCACTAACATGTATCATGGTCACTACAAATTTAGAACAGAAACTTCACAGACACACGTACCAAAATAGACGCAGTTCGTCACATCTGTCTGTCTGTCTGCTTTCGACATAGAACTTTGCACCGATGTGCAGCAGTTCAAGTCACCACACTCCCTCCATGTAGCACACAAAGCAAGAGAAGAAAGTAAAAGAAATCCATAATAGAGACAGAAGACAGGGATATGAGACAAAAGGAATAGTAATAACGAAGACCAATATAGTTTCATTGGAAATTATAAGTCACAAGGAGTGGATGCATCTGCGCCAGTCATTGACAACGATTTTGAGCCAATCATATCACCGATTGTCTCCAGCCTTCATTGGTTTTTACCGTCCCGAGGACCCCAACCAGTCAGGAAGTCTACACCTCCCTATGTGGCCATCTTAAACTAACTCTTGTGGATTTCATTGACTGATGAAGCCATGTTTTGGTTTGACCACCACCACTAACTCTTTTCCAGCCTGACCCTATGTCAGCTAACATTGCCTGTTGTCGAGGAAGGAGATGACTAGGCGGCATGCGTAACACATGTCCTAACCATCTCAGTCGATGTAGCTTCACAGCCTCGTCGATTGATTTCCCCTCCCACCTAACTAGCACTCGACACCTATACCTCAGTATTGCTTACCTTACTATACCACTTCACACAGGAGATAGAACGCAGGCACCTATGATCAAGGACAGCTAGTCTTTTCATGTCCTCCACTCTCAATGGCCATGTCTCACTCACAGCCATGAAGGAGGACGGAGCGGATTGCCGCTGAGCAGTACACGCGTCCTTTGGTCGATTGCCAGCCGGAAATCACATCCACGCCAGAGATGGCGTAAACTGGCATATGCGAAACAGTTCGTCATATGATATAAAAATCAATAGATAATAAAGAGAGGGATATTTTATCAGGAAGTCCACTTCAGCATGAAAACACGAATAAAAGTGTGTGACAAGGAGACATCATCAGAAATAAAAACACACACACATAAATTACTTTCCTTTTAAAAGAAAATAATCACAATGGAGTTAGTTAACTTACCTTTAGTCGGAAAAATCTGATAAATCTTGTGATTTATCACCGAGACCACCATTATTATTGTCAGAATTATTATTAGCACATTGCTCATTTTCTACGAGTGAAGAATTGCCATCACGGTCAACCGATGTCACTGAATTTAGACCTTCAACATTTTTGAACAAATAGACAATTAGATAACAGTATTGTTAAACATTAATCTCAATGATATGACATTCGTTTTTTTATTAAACTTTAGAGAAATATGAAAACCTGTAAGGAAAAAAAAAACTTTATAGGATAATGGAAGCCTAGACCACAGTAGAGTCACGTATACACCGACGATGAACGTGACAAAGTTTGTTTGCAACTTTGAAAGAATGAATAACAACTGGACTTCATAGCAGAGATAAGCATCTATGAAAACATAAATTCTGACAGGTTTCTGTTGCCTAGCCTATTCAGTCCAAAAGTGAATGCTTATGAAGTGGTCCCCCCAAAAAACAACAACTTTATCTAACTTGACAACCTTTGTAGTATTTCAACATCCAAACAAGTTATGACGTCACTTTCCATGGTACAGATTTAATAGGAATCAAATAATTGTTTCAGCGATGTTAGTGCCAGTTCTCAGCTACCGTAGTATTCACTCAAATGTCATTCTATCCAATAAGTGATGCCTACTTCAGAAATTTAATATTTAATGTTACGCAAGGCTGATTTCCTATTATCTGCCGCCCTTTCCACAGTACTTTCCATATGGAAAACTACTCATATTCATACCGCATACTTCACACTACTAGAAAACCGACAGCGTACACTTGAGCGCAGCTGAATTGGTAAGACAAATGTACATTTCAGCAGATTATAGACATATTGTCTTAAGCACCTCTTAAAAGTGTCTGTCAACATCTAGGTAGAATAGTTTCTACATAAACTCATTGTGAACATAGAAATACATAAGCACTGATTAAATTATATTTGACACAATTACTAGTCTCTCAGTATAAATACGATTGAGCAGACAGCAGTACTATCACATAAACACCAATACGAAAAATAGACCAGCAGAACAGTGTAGTGTACATCTGTTAAAATGCCTTGGAAAACAATTCAAACGTCGATAAACACGCAGGCGGGAGACAACAAACTTCGTATGTAGTAAAAGGCATATTATTGATATGCAGCATACGATTGATGTCAAAACAATCCTCAATATTATGCACCAAACCAGACAACTGGGCATACTAAAATATGCTGAGGCGACAGCCATTCGAAAAACTATGCCTCCGTTGTATATGCAGAACAATTTATTGCTACACTTATTATGTACTACTTGACTGACCGACTGACTGGCTGACGTGAGCAGTTGGATACCATTCACATATCGAAGTGACCTACACAATGAACGACCATTTCGCTCGTTTTCCGACAAGCTCATCACCGGTGTACCTCGTATTACTCATCTCAGAAAGCCGATTTAGTTCAAACCATCCAAATTCTGCCCTCTTAGCCATTTAGGTGAACAAGTGATACATTCGATCAAATTCGCAATTTCAAATTTTCACAGTTTGAGGAGGTGAAATTTCAACACACAGTTTCTTTCGAAAACCTGAACATTTAACGATTGACGTGCAAAACTAATCGGTGTTTACATCACTTGGTATGGCTAACAAGCACTACTATTTCATGTGGGTGATATTCATCTACTCATGCCTCTGTGACTGCTTTCTTGATTGCCACTTCCGATATTGTAATCTGGATAGTTTCAGTTTTCGAAAGGACACTGTGGTGAGATTTCACCTCGAACTATATAAATTGTGAACACAATCAACCGATAATCCTCATCCGATTATATTCCAACCATTGGTATCAACTAATGTGTGCTGCTTACGCTTAAATTCCATGCTGGTAGTTTGTTTATTTTATTTGATGCCTCATCTTTTTCCAGTTTCACACGAACTAAATTCACGAGTGGATGCGTGTGATCAGATTCTTCGAGATGTATTGTGCAAATACATAGCACTTTTCAGATAAACTTTGTCTTTTAATAACGCTAACCAAATTCATTATGGCGACTAACTGTTTCAAGCAACAAAACAATGCGGAACTTCATATGAGATATAACAAAAATATGCATTTAAATACAAACTGAATTTCAGCAAAGACGAAAACCTTTGCATCCTGCAGGAATACCCATAAAATACCACACACAGTGCAAACCAACTAGTGACAATAAATACACACGCACACACACACACAAACAGCTTAGAGGATTGGAAGAGAAAATATTACATCAATATTTACCAATTTTAGTACGTCGACGAATTCCACAAGGCACAAAATCCAAATCTGAGAAACTGTCTTTCGGTGAATCTCCATGAGACACAGTTGACTCATGCGGCATAAGCATAGTAGGTGCACGAAACATATAACACAATGGATAGTATATTAGATTGATACAAGAAAATGAATACAAATCTGCATAGCGTAGTACTTGAGATGAGAAAAATGTATGTCGAGAACCTAAAATCAATAGTGGAATGAAAAACAAAAGGTGAATTCGATAATACACCATAGGACAAGAAGTTGGAAACACAAAGATAGAAAATGCGTGATACACAGAAGTAAACTTCGAAGCATTCAGTACATTCGCTCTCCTAACTTCAAAGTACCCACACAAACAATAAATAATCACCTTTATGCTGACAAACAACTATTATATTATCTTTTAGAAAGGCTCAATTTTCAATTTCTAGAGTTGTAGAGTTTCAGTGTTCAAATGTCATCAAAAATTGACAAGCAAATAAACAACATTTATGTGCACTAATCAGTTATTGAACTGTCACACTATCTAGTGGTTCATTGCTCACCGTTATATCCCACAACTGAGCCACAACATCACCTGACAGCACAGTGCATGTTCCATTATCTCACAAATCTGATGATATTAGATGGTTGGAGGCAATCGGCCACAGGAAGCCTTGGACCTAGGTTTCGTGCTAGTTGGCACTCTTCAGCAAGGCGTATCTGCAACCTTGAAGGAACTGATGTCCCTTCTGAGATTCGAACCCGCGTCACCCAGTGCTGCAGTCAGAGACGTTACCACTGAGCTATTCGGGCTCGATCTCAGAAGGACATAGTTCCTTCAAGGTTGCAGATACGCCTTGCTGAAGAGTGCCAACTAGCACGAAACCTAGGTCCAAGGCTTCCTGTGGCCGATTGCCTCCAACCATCTAATATCATCACAAACAATGTTCACCGTAATGGCAAGCTACCTAGAATGGTGGCCACATTACAACCTGACTGATAGAATTCAGTCTGCACCAAAGAGAGGACTAGACGCATCACACTAGTTACTAGTGTCAAATCAAAAAAACGTATTGTCTCCTCAAAGATTTCAGATATATGTATTCAGTAGATTTTCAATAAGAATTCTAATGCTCACATTGCTTATTGCATAGTAGATGTAAGTATCACCATTTTTATCTTTATGCGATAATAACCCTACTGTTTTCGACTATTAATAAATGTCCAACTGTCTTCATGTGACCAAAAGGTTTACAAAAGATTACCACTTAATATGCGCTAAGATAAAGCATAATTTGAATACAAGTCAAGCAAGCAAATCTTAGACAAATCACACAACTGTAAGCAGAGTAATGGGTAAACAGTCGGTAGACTTTTATTCTCGTAATTTTCTTTTACTTCTTCGAAACCTCTATTTCCTTGATAATCAATCCATTTACTTATATTGCACCTAGTGATTTGCTTTCGGGTTCTTACAAACAAAAGAAAATCTACGTGACAAAATGATGATGATGATTTTATGCTTAGAAGAAATACACACACACATCCCTAGTACCACTATCAGGCTACAATCCTCTATAATCTGCTTAGGTATTTAACATACGAGTTTAGATTATTCTGTAAATTAGTAAATACACAGATTAAGAATTTCGTATAGAAAAATAAAGAGGTCACAGAAGTTGTGTCAACATGAATTAGTGGGAGGGGGCGGGGGTTGTCAGTTAGAAACTTAGAAAAATCAGCCATTGACCTGATAAATCATCAGACCTAATCATACATTTGAGTCTTATAGTTACTTACAATATATGCGGAAAATATTAAAACTAACTTGTGTTGGAAACTATCTGTACACACGATACTACTCTCTATAAGTAATGCAGGCTCGCATAACTTTGCATACAGTTGTTGTATAAAGGGAAAATAACCAATCATATTCATCAGCATTCTTATATAACTTGTCCATAGACATATGGATGGGAGTAAGTCTGTTCGACTTCAATGTCTCGTTCGTTGATTTGCAGTAAACAGATCACATAATTAATCCTTTACGGTGAAGACACTGGCAACATTTAGAGTTATCGACTATTGATCTCAACCATGTGGGCAGGTGAAGACTACTTGATTGGAGTTCTCAAGGATGCTAGAAATCAAACAAAACTGTTCACGATGGGGTACATGCATTCACACCTCATCATATTCTGCATCCTGTACAACTTCGCTTATATTCATTGAATTCTTATCTTCATCACAGATGTATTTGTCCATTGCATTAATAGTCTATTTCTCTTCTCTACTCTTGTGCTCCATGGAGTTGTGGCAATCTAGATCACATCACACTCTAAGTCCACCGGTCAGTCAGACAGTCAATCAGTTATTTATAATAGACTTTCAACCAATATACTAAATAAATGTAACAGCCATAGTCTATAGCAGGTGGATTCCAGCTGGCATACTTCCCTATGCCCTAAATGAATGTATGCATTCACACACTTTAACAACGAAAAAATAAGGGCGAATTCGATTACCTCACAAACTAATGTCACGCAGGAGAACAACTGGAAGCCAAGCAACACTGAACGTAGTTCCCCACTACTAAGTGAATGCCTTTTTAGCTATGTCATCACACCAGCCAACAACCTAACAACTAAATGAATGATACATTTGCCTACAAAAATTAGAATACACCCAGATTGAGGCAAATATATAAACAACATACACACCACTGAAGAGAGGGACAGAGACAGAGATCTGAAATAAAACAGACTAACAAACAAATATTTACATAGGCAAAATATGATTCCTGTTTGTATTGATCTTCGCTTTTTTGTTGTTGTTGTTGTGCTTGATAAAATGAAATGACCTAATAAGATCACGATAAGATGAATAACAAGCAAACAAACAAATGAATAACGCTGACATGTTTATAAAAACCTCCTGAAATGTAGTGGTGAATCACTGTCCATTTGAAAAAAAAGAAAAAACACGACCATAACAACAACAACAACATCAACTCATTAAGCATCCATCCATATCAGCTATACAGAAATAAACTTTGTGTACTAACCATTTCTGAAAATGCTGCCCAATGCACCGTATGATTCTTCCATTTTTTGAGCTACATCCTTCAGTGAGTTGAGTTAACGCATACACATACGAGATGAGATATGAAAGAAGAAAAGAGACAATAAAGATTAAAAGAACATGAGATAATGTGAATCTACTCACCCTTTCACAATTGGTGATAAAATCAATAATAAGTTCAAGTGAATGTATCATGCACATTCCCTTTACCCAACCAACAGCTACTACTTTGATACAAACAGTGATGGTACACCACCTTCCATACTGCAAAGATCTAACAAGTTACATGTTAGGAACGATAGCACCTGACAGTAGCAATACTCAGATCTGCCACAATTATAATCTAAGTAATCTGCACTATAACGGAGTTTTAAAAGTGAGATTGTGATGGTGCTGTCTGGTAGGGATGGGGTGGACACTTGTGGTGTGACCAGTAACCCAGTCTACTGACATCCGCTACTGAGAAGCAGATGTGTTAAAATAATCAGCACAGTGACCGTACACACTGGTTTCCACTACAGATTCCGATTACCGGTAATATGCAAGTCATGAGTTTAGAGTTGTCTACAACATACTCAACTCATCTTTCACCCTCATGGCCATGAGCAATGCATGTAATTGTTTAACCAATAGTTCTCATTGAAATATAGAAAAGTGTCAACCTACTCTTTTTTCAATTTATGATGGAATCAACAACAGCAACTGAGTATGTGAATCCATTTCACACCAAACCGAAGGCTCCTAACCTTGACACGGTAATGATTCTCTTTGAATACCACAGTGACCTAATTTGCTATTCTGGATGGGATGACATCACCCTAAAAGGTTGATTGGATGGGTGTAATACTAACAGCAGTCACAACTACAACTTAAACGACCTACACAATGATGCGGAACTGAAAGGTGAAATCGAGATAATGCATGCTAGGCGTGTTACGGCTATAATGAGTTTCCCTCAGACAAAGGGTGATCCAGTTACTCTGTCATCTGCTACTGAGAAAGAGAAATTAAAAACATCACTCCAAGTCTACTCTACAGATCTCGAATGCCAGTAATATGTAAGCCATTAACTTATAGTTGAAGTGATATCCAATTATCGATTAAAGGAAGTGTGTACAACGAACCATTTCACCTCATCCTTCCCTGTAGCTTTGAGACACGGTCATTGAAAGTAGAAGACATGAAAAGGCTAGCTATCATTGATCATAAGTATCTGCGTTCTGTCTCCCATGCTAAGTGGTATAATAAGGTGAGTAATATTTAGGTTAGGCGTCAAGTTTTACGTAAGGAAGGCAAGTCAATCAATAAGGTTGTGAAACTACATTGACTGAGGTGGTTAGGACATGTATTACGCATGCCGGACCATCCCCTTCCACAACGAGCAATCTTCGGTGATATAACATCAGGTTGGAAAAGAGTTACTGGTGGTCGAAACAAAACCTGGCAACAATTCATGTAATCTTTGACAGTTGGTTTGAGCCACGTCGGAAGGTGTAGACTTCCTGGTTGAGGTCCTCAGGATACTGAGAATCAATGGCTGGAGAGAGATATGGTGATATGGCTCGAAATCGTTTCCAATGGCACACATGCATTCACTTTACGTATTCTGCAATATCCAATAAAACTCCGTTATTTTTCCATGTTACTATTCCTTCTCCTTCACATTTCTGCGTATTATCATTCTATCGAATTTCTTCTTCCCCACTCTTTTGTCTCCCTCTTTGTGCTATATGGAGTGTGAAGAGTTGGACTGCTGCACTTCTCTGCAAACTTCCATGTTCAAACCAGTCAGTCAGTTAATCGATCATGACTCATAGATATGCTTTCAATACATTGAAACACTTTGAACGCTATAGTCTAGTCACAATCTTGGTGACATGGATAGTGTAAGTAGGGTTAAAATGATAGGCACAAGGGACACTTAATGGCCTACTGTTGAAAGCGATCATCACCAAGACTTTATTGAACAAATGAATATTCTTTATTCACACCTCAAATAAGAAGTACCTACTCTTTTAAGTAAACTTAGACTTATCCTTGTGCGTCGGTGGTGCAGTGGAATAATGCTCGCAACCACGCATGTGGTTCGGGGTTCGACCACCGGCCGACGCACTCCTAAACTTCACTTAGCTGGCAGTAAGTCCAGTGAAGATAGAAGGTTGAGCGTGAGGCTGGGAATCCCACCTCGTAAAAATAAAACCAATGCTACTGAAACTTCAAAGGTCAACCTTGAGGCTCTATGTCCCAGTCGGACGGTAAAGGAGCAAAATAAAAATAAGAAAGACTGATCCTTAAGTTCAATACACACCTGTAAAAAATATATCTGAATAACTCCTACAGTCAACTAACCACCAAGAAAGATCACCAGAATGCACAGGAATGAACACATAACAGTGGATAAACAAATTGATAATTATGTGTGAAACAGGGTGTAAATATACGAATTTAAATGAATGACTGGAATTTAAAGTGTTACTTTTTTTCAGAAATATTTTATGTGAGTACATTTCGGATCATGAAGTCTCAATGCTCTTCTAAGGAAAAAACAACAACACCAACACCCAGAACGAACTGATCTCATTTAACAAACACAACAGAGACGAGATTAATATTCAATAGGCTCCAAGTGATCTGAAAAAGGACAGTGTGTTCAAGGCCAAAACTTCTCCCACGATATTCACATGGTTACATGAGTTACTGCATGAAACTGAATGCTGTTACTATTATTAGTAATCTTCTCAAATTACAGTGTGTGTAGCTTCTTCAACCCACGATAAAACGCTTATCATAATTTGGCAATTAAATCATTTTTATTTTATTTTACTTTTTTCACTTACCCGAATCTTCCTCTGCAAATTACCAACATCTGGTCTTATGTTGGACGATATATTCAGGTCACTGTTATGTGATGCATAAAAAGGAAGCGTAGGAGGGAGAGAGGAGAAGGAAGAACAACAACAACAACAATAATTATAAACTCATTGCAGCAACATGATGTGCTGATGTAGATAGAATAAGGTGAATGCATTTATAAATATAAAACATCTATGTGTGTTCATAATCAACAAAAGTTATAAAGACAAACAAAAAACTGACTACTAAGTGAAAACGAACAGAAGAAAAAAATTACGGGTCATTCTTGTTTGATGTTCACAGTGTTAGTTACTACGATCCCCACTAATATACATCTACATGCACAAACACAGACACGGAAGCAAATAAACACACGCACACGCACAAGCAACACACCATGGACAAACAAGTAAGCTTATTATAATTAAGGACAACAGTATCTTTGACCATTGAGAAGTGAATAGGGATCACAATCATTAATATTGCTGTTGATGTTGTAATTGTTCTTATTGTTTTGTTGTTGTTTCTTTGTTGTTTAAAAGGAAATTATCTTTCTGAATAACTTTTTCTAATCAAGAAAATTGTGAACAAACAAAAGTAGTTGGGAAATTCATTTGTACTTTTACTAATGTTAGTGAGCAGATAGTTTGTGAGTTTAGGGTAAACAATGAATTTTTACGAGTTGATCACGGATTGATATCAGTTAGAGAACCATTGAAAACCAGGGAGTACTGCACAGCCAGCTGTTTCATCCTAGTTTGGGAATCGTCGGCAGTACGCACACACTCCACAGGGGGTTCGAACCCAGGACCTTCCGATTACAAGGGACTCGATTCAATGGCCATCCCATGAATTCTAACTTCTACCAATTTTTGATTTAGCGCGACCCCAACCAATGTCGTCGGTGGGACATCCATCCTCACACGTGACATCTGGATGGACCTCACTGGTCACGACTTCTCACTAGAACTCCAGGAAACTACATCCTGTTGCAAGTCACTAGCGAGCATCAGATTAATTTTCTATAGTTTGGTTTGTAAGGGTTAGTTATGTTTTTACGAGTTGATCACGGATTGATATCGAACCCCAGTGGGTGCGTACTGCCGATGATTCCAAAACTAGGATGAAACAGCTGGCTGTCCAGTACTCCCTGGTTTTCAATGGTTCTCTAATTGATATCAATCCGTGATCAACTCGTAAAAACAAAACTAACCCTTACAAACCAAACTATAGTAAACAATGAATGATAAGGAAGGAATAAAAGCAGATAATTTGGTGGCTGGTGATGTCATAGAGATTCGAAGACTTACAGGCAAAACCAACAAGCTGGTAGAAGAAGTAGCAAAGACAGGACTTCAAGTGAACATAAGGAAGATAGAGGTGATGAAGATACCCCACCGACCAAGATTAACAAGCATAAATCCCCATCAACGGGAGTAACTTGAAGGAGGTCACACTTTTTACTTACTTATCTAGGCAGAATCGTTTCTACTACAGTCAGCGTAACGGATGAGGATGTCAAAACTAGAATCAGAAAGGCAAAACAGACCTTCATCACCCTGAAGTTAGCGTAAAGAACAAGATCCGGATTTTTAACACCAACGTTAATTCAGTCAGTGCTTCTATATGGGTCAGAGACAGCTCATCACAACACACAACCACTCCCAACAGGCTACTGCAGACTTTTATCAGCAGCTGCTTACTTCGCTCAATAACGAAGATCGAATGGCCAGAAGAGATTAGTAACAAGAAACTTTCGGGGCGAATCAACCCAGAACCGATTGCTTAACAAATGGTCTTGCGAGAGAATGACAATGGATCGGACACACGCTGAGGAGACCGTTGGTTGACATCTCGTGCCAGGCCGTCGGTTGAGTAGAAGCTGGATAGGAAACGAAGAGTTGCGTGTTAGTCTCAGGTTAAAATGGAGGAGATTGTCAGAGGTGGAGATGAAAGTCTCGGATTAATCGTGAGGCCAGCTAAAGAGGAGTTTAGAGAACAGGATGAAATGGAGACATACCGGTGGAGCTCTTCGTTCCATTTGGAACCCAAGAGAATAATAAACAAGACTAAAACAGGAGGCTGAAATAGCCTAGTAGACAACGTTTAGACGCTTGAAACGATGGGTACTGGGTTCGAGTTTCAGTGGTGAGAACAATATCACCCGCTGAAGAATACAAGTACATCCATCAGCTGACGAGTCCTAAGTGGGATGAGATGCGCAGACTGGATTCCACCGCTAATTTTCATGCATCAAATCGCTTCAGGTTGATCCTCAGACATCGTCGAAATATCCGTACGAGGAGCCAAAATGTCAACAGAGGCCAGACGTTTCGGTTCAATCAATTAACGGGAAAATCAAAAATTAGCTTGAAAACAATAAAATCTTTTTCTGAAATTTTTATCAATAATTTTTATTAGTGGCAATCGGACATATATATAATACTCAGATTTCGGGCGTTAATTTCAATATAGATTTTGTCATGAATCGATTTAGTTGAATTAAATAAGGAGCACTAGACGCGGCTGATCCGTTCTAGTCCAGGACTATTCAGCAGTTTGAACCTACACACATTAAGGGTAAACCCAGGATGAGTGAAGTTCACTGAGGTTTCATCCATGATAAAGTCTCAGATGTGCAGTGATGAAGAGTCCCTAGCTAGGAATCGTGTGATTTCGAATGATTATGTAACTCATCTTATTTTGTGAGAAAATCTACTTTGGATACATTACCACCTACTATCCACTACGACAACTACACACAAAATTGCACACGACGTTGTATCCGATAAATTTCTTCTGTTCTTGATGTTTTCTGAGATAAGTGATTCAGCGTAATGACGAAATACTTAAGAGTGAGTGAGTGAGAGAGAGAGAGACAAAACATCACAATGACAAAAATCTATGCAGCTGGCTTGTTACATTACCACATAAAAATAAATCTAATTAGTAGTATTGAAAAAACAAAACAAATCGACATTAATTTCTTGATCCCTAGGGGAATTAAAATTTAAAAAAACTTAAACAAAGACTACAGGTTTTAAAAGTCATATGTGTCTTCACTGGATTGATTCCAGTAGGTGAACCAATATTTCGGTTATTCCTTTACGTTCCCAGTGGAACATACAGTTTCAAGCTTCACCTCTAAACCTTCAATAGCAGTGGTGTTTATTTTTTTATAGGATGAGGATGTTAGCCTCACGCCCACCCAATCTTCCCTCTTTAACGAGCTTACTGTCAGCTTAGCGAGGTTTAGGAGTACGTCGACCGCATGGGATCGAACTTCGGACCACGTGTGGCGTTGCTAGTGAACATTCCACCACTGAACCACAGACGTAACAGCACTAAGTTAAAATGAGTTATGATAAAGAGGGTAAATTATGGAAGATAAGTTGGTGGATAAGGCTACGAAGCTTTAACAATTGACATGGCTGAGACATGTGTGACACATACCAAAATACTACCTCCTCCGAACATTAATGTTAATCGGAGTAGTATTAGATTGGAAAATGATCTGAGGCGACCGAATAACAATACAAAAATATCAATCCACGAAGTTATTTATTATTAGTCGGTGTCACAGAGAGAGTCTTACACAGCATGACTGGTGTCCTTGGGATACTTAGAAACATATATTGTAGAATACTGGAGACATGGGTTAAAATTGTTCACAAGAATGTCGATGTAATTGAATTAATGCACTCCTGTGCAGAATGTGTCTGTATCTGTTGACATCCAGTATATGTAAGTATTGTATATAACTTACACTATCAAAAGGACAAGATTGGCAGAAGAATCTGCTTGTACTCACTTTTCAAATTAGTCAAAAAGTTCATACATCCAGGTAGTTAGTTGTTTGAGTACTCAGAAACGTTAGAGGAATGAGACCTATAATCGTGTATTACAAGCCTAATGCTTGGTACGGGTGAACTGTAGACTCTATTGACATTCACTCACAATTAATTTCTTGATATTAAATTGGTCCACCAAGTCAGGCAAGAGGGAAGTTACTCGCCCGTGACATTGGCTGGCTGTTGCGCTAAATACATATCACGAATTGGCAGAAGTTCGAATTCATGAACCATTAGGTTGGGCTTTAGTGGCTTAATGGTCTACGAGCTCGCTGCATAACCGGAAGGTCCTGGGTTCGAAGCCCTTTGGGTGAGTACTGTTGAAAAGTCCTGAGGTAGAGTGAAACAGGTTTCCCAATGGTCCCCTAACTGATACCAACTGGTGATGAGTCCTATAACCAATTAAATTTATTTTTTATTTTTTTAATTTTGATTATAGCTTGATTCCACACCGTATTTTTGGTACAAGTATGAAAATTTTCAGCATATGATATCGGTAGCCCAAATTTTGCAGGCCAACCATAGATATCAGGTGTGCGTCGGCAGGGGATCGAACACCGGACCATGTTCATGGTCAACGAGAGTCTTAACCGCTGTGCCACCCTGCATATCAACCCTTGATAAATGTAATATTTATAAAGAGAATGAAACTAATCATCTTATAATTTTCACAATAACATAATTTAGTTTATTCGATAAATTATGTCGAAATTTTGTTTGCAAACTTTTTGCAAACTTCGTCATATTACATTGTTACTGATTGTCAATCTGTCATTCAAATAGTAAAGTAAGTCATCATTGAATTGACCTGAGAGTAAGCTAATGTCACTTATATTATTTGATACTTACTAGGCATCTTGGTAAATAATATACATTTCAGTTAATATACTTAATTAAAACAAAAAACTGGAATACACTAGCAGTTTTTGTAACAATATTGATGTCAAGTTAACCTTTTAGTAAGTGAACTGAAAATAATGACTGCGTGTGTTTGACCATCAATTTCATGAACGTTTCGCGATTCATTCTCCTGAACGTCACTAAATTTTAATAAAATGCCAACTGTTACATTTTGGATGATAATAATACAATACAATAGTTGGAGGCAATATATACCTGATATCAACAAACTGACAGAGCAGAAATCAGTAAGGCAGTATATGCTGGTTAAATTTCTGAATTTCATCAGTTTTAAGAGTATAACAGTATTCAAGTGTTGGTTTGTAGGGATTTGATTGGTTACAGGATTTTCATCATGAGCTGACATTAGTAAGAGAACCATTGGAAAACCTGGGAGTACTGGACAGCTGTTTCGTCAGCCTAGTTTGGGACTCTTCATCACTACGCAACCACCGGGATTCGAAGGTCCTAGGTTCGAATCCCGGTGGGTGCGTAGTGATGAAGAGTCCCAAACTAGGTTGACGAAACAGCTGTCCAGTACTCCCAGGTTTTCCAATGGTTCTCTTACTAATGTCAGCTCATGATGAAAATCCTATAACAGTATTGATGAATACCACTCCATCCAGACATTAATGAAAACAAAACACGTAGTTCAGAGAAGAGGATCTTGTCGGCGGCGAATTCATTTTCCTCTTTAGTTGTACCATCCCATTTATATTCAATTTTTGGTTCAGCTAGTAAGTCTTCGAGTTTGTGTGTGACAGATGTTCTATCTTCAAGTTTTACAACACGAAATACTACAATTGACTTATTGCGTTTCAGATTATAGGAATTTTGGGGATTTGAATTACTTAAATTTCCAACTGTTAGATTTCTTCATGAAACAACGTCAGTTAGAGAGGTCACTGACAACCAGGTATCACTGGACAACTGTTTCACCCCAATTTGGGACTCTTCGTCAGTGTACACACAACACCAGAGATCTAACCAGGGATTTACAGTCCGAAAATCCCCACAACTCTAATAAATTGAATACTAATCGTCAGCTCACTGATGGCTTCTGGATGAATGTTCTGAAGCTGTCGTATTTAAAAGGCGAGACCACTGGGGTCTACCACGTCAAGCTGAAGTGGATGACCGTCGAATGGATTAATGCGGGTAGCTGCATATCACGAGTTAATGAAAACGAAACACGTAGTTCAGAGAAGAGACTCTTATCGGCGGCGAATTCATTTTGCCGCACATATATACAATTTTTGTTCATGAAAGAAGTCACTAATAAAAGTGATGAGTTGTCACAATCATAGTTGTTAATATTAGTGAATGCACAAGAGGAGTTGAATAAGTGTATTAGAGTTACGTAATAAGATGAATAATTTAATGAATGAGTTGTAATCAGGATGCACATAGAAGCGGAGGAGAATGTGGAATTATGTAAGAATCCTAGAGAAATACAAGAGTAATAAGGAGTAAGAAAAACAAACAAACAAACAAAAATCACGTGAGTAGAAATCAACAAGGTTGTTACTGCGATAGGGGGAGTAGTTGAATAATTCCTTTTTATATGCACCGCTCCGATTTCTCTAACTGAATAACTAAAGTTTCAGCAATGCAAAGGAGACGAAAGCATATTGTCTTTGGCAGGTTGTTCTTCCCTCCCTAGATTACTTTGAAGGATGCGTTTGTTGAGATGGAATGACCAATGTTGACAAGGTGTTCGATTATCACACCCCTTATAAGGACACTACTAACTATCTGCAAACACGGGGGAATAATGTTCTTGAACCCATTTCAGACAAGATACGCATCGAATGACCAATACACCTTGCTTCAAACGAACAGAAGAACTGATATATGTACAGAGAGGTGGTCGGATACAAGGTCTTGTCCTTAAGGCTTCTTCAGACCAATGGATGACTGAAGAACACTACTCTTAGCGTTCCTGTTTTTTTTCTCAAAGATGGTAAAACTCTTCTCTTAAGAAGATGGCAGCTTGAGTGTTTCTTGAAATCCAAGTTCATATAAAGTTTCTTTTTTGAAACAAGTAATGTTTCATTCCTCTTAAATTTTTGGTTTGATATTCTTGTCAATGAGTCTTGGTGAGTATCCATTTTGGATGGAGGTTTCCTTCAGAAGATCTAGTTCTGTAAAGATGTTTCAGATCCAATTGGCAAGGGATTTAATTGAATTTCGTTATCATTCAACAGGCATCTAACTGTAGAAGTTCGTTAGTTGATCGTTCCAGGTGGTTTTACTGTGGACTGACCTTCTTAGGTTTTACAATTCACTATTAGTGACTACACTTTACACAAAAACGTCGACTGATACGCGTAGAATAGCACAAACACTGACAATACTTATTTGAGAGTTTCATAATAAGGTCAAATTAGGGTTTCAAAGACAACAGTAATCAAACGCAGAAAGTTAATCCTTTCCTTCATTTGTAGCAGAAATTCTCAGTGTTTTGGACACACATTTGACTAACAACCAATAAGCGCAAGATTCAAGCCTACTTTGGTTTGGTCGACCGAGAAGTCTTATAGGTCTACAAGCGTAAATTATGGATCGTAACTTAATGCATAAAGACACTTGTGTTGCATAAATAAGTTGAATTACTCACTATCAATGCACTGCAATGATTTAATGTGTGTTTATTTTATGAATTTATGAATAAGTTGTTTACTAATCACAATTAAAACTTAAACATTCATAACGGTGGAATGCTCACATCCTGATCACCCTCCATAAAACGTGGTAATGGTTTGATGTATACACATCGAATAACAGAAACCTCAAAAGACCATAATTATGACTAAACATTATTGAACTAAGTCGCTTAATTAGGACAATGCAATGCAGATACATTCAGTATTCACCTGTGTCGAGTATAATATGCCGATGATCTGACAATTTCTGTTCCAGGGATTTCTGCATTAGTTTGTTCTGATATGGTGACGAACACATATTCTTATTTGAGGTTAACCAACGATCTCGCTCAAATCGTCTTAAACTAAATCCCTCTATATGTCATTCTGAACAAGACTTGCGTGAACTGATTCAGTCCTATGGTTTTTGTAATGTAGATGGCACTATGATAAGAAATAAATCGAATATCACCTTTATTGGCATCGGTTTCTCTTCAAGTCTTTGTTAGTCATCTCATATCCTATTGATTTCTGTGAAAATCCTTCAGTTGACTTATCACGTAAGAAAGATGAGAATTTCGCGCATGACTCAACCTCTTTTGTTGCAATTTATTAATTCATGTATCCTGCCAACTGTTCTTTATTCTCCCCTCCCCCTATTCTTCCCTGGCCTTCTCAAAACGATTATGTTATATTACGTAAAACATTGATGAGAGCTGTAAGTAGAGTCATTGGTGGTGTGTGTCTTTGACTCGACTAACTGACAGTGTTGTTGATAGGCATTCTAATTCTCGCTACGTCTGGTACCGGACATCCTCTTAATTCACAACGTTTTCCTTATATCACCTCGGCAGTGAAATCAGAAGAAATTCCATAACAATTCACGCTAGTACAGCTAAACATAGGAACTCAACCATATCATATATAGCACAGGTTTTTTGTGAAGGAAGAAGCTAATGTCAGTAAAGAACTTACGAACTTTTTAAATCACTAAGTATAAACAGCAAATTATAACCAGAATTATTATTACACGTATTACTTTTTAATCGTTCATTATATGCCATTAACTTTCAGTTTTTGCGGCTTTAATAATTTTTACTATTTTATGTATTTATAAATGTTTATAAAAGGAGCTAAATTGTTACAACATGTACAAACGCGGAAAGCTCCATTCTGTACAATTACTATTATTGTTTGGAATGCAGTGATGATGTAATTCAAACTCTATCCCCTCCCATCACCATCCCCACTATTATCGCCTTCATACTTATTTTCCTTGCATTGAGACAGCAATCCATCCAGTCATAAATAGGCATCAATCATTGGGTCAATCGATATGCTTGTATACAAATCAACAAATAAGTAGTATATATAAGTAGTCACTAGTTAGTTCTCTTCCAAAAGAAAACAAAAAAAAACAACTCACCGATAAATTGTTTCTAAATTGTTATCAATCCTCTGCAATTCATCAAATAACGATTTCTTTCTCTTCCATACATAAACTTCATTCGCCAATTCAGGGATAATTAGATACGTCCGCCAACCGACAGTCTTCTTCGACTTCAATATATCACCATAAACATGATCACCGACATACAGGACATCTTTACCACGAGCACCAATTAAACTTGAAAAGACTTCACAAGAACCTAAGATGTTACACACAGAAAATATATTAATAAACAGGTGATTAAAAGTTACACGTAAACTTTATTCTCACTAACAAACGAGTATGAGGAATGTTGGTTAAATTACACCAAAGTCATGAGAAGGTCAGCAAAATGTTGAAAAACTCCACTTTGAATGAAGAAACAACGAATTGTTACTGATAATTTTTTAATTCTTATACCTTCAGTGTTACTCGTTTATATCTTGGAAGATTGCGGTAGATAAAATCTTCCAATGTCTACTATTTCCAGCTAGATTTTACCGAGATCAACAGCTTTCTATCAGGAGTCAGCAAATGGTCTTACACTAATTCCTTCTAAGTGTCAGACTGTTAATTTCAGTTTCCGATGTAAAATAGATGATATTGATATAGAAATCAAGTCTGACGTTAAGTATCTTGGACTAATTCTTTCTTCTGACCTATCCTGGTCTTCGCACGTCTTAGCGATTTCCAGTTAAATATTTCGTCTGATTTTTTACATTAAGAAGCTAAGGCACTCGGGCAAAACTCAACCCCTCCTCTTACAGTTTATCAACTCTTGCATCTTACCTATTCTTCTTTACTGTTCACCCTTATCCTTTCGTGGATTGCTTTAAAAAGACTATGCCATACTTCGTAGGACTCTGAAGACTGTCAGTAGGGCCATATCGTTGACGTCGTCATTGATAGGCACCTGATTTCATTTAAGCTCTGTAATAATTCTTATTATTTTTTTTGTATTTCCCCTCAATATTCTGTGTCAGGAGACCATTAGATTCATTACTCTATAACATGCTTGAATTTCCATACTGTATCGACAATATTAGTGAGCCTGTGGCACAGCGGCAGAATGCTCGCCGACTGAGCATATGGTCTTGGCTTCGATCCGTGGCCGACTCACTCCTTCACCTAGCTAAGCCAGTAATAAGACCGGTAAAGAAGGAAGGTTAGACGACAGGCTAGCGATTCCAGCTTGTGAAAACAAACACCACTGCTAGTCAGACTTCAAAGCTGTAACTTAAAGCCCAATGTTTCACTCGAAAGGGTGAATGAAACATTGACATTATACTTATGTTTTCCCATAAAATGTTAATCAACATTTGAAAAAGTTAAGTTATTAACAGTGTGGTAGATTCTGCATTAAATCTTATGCAAGTATATATATATGTGTGTGTGGATGAAAGTAGTTGATGAAAACACAAAACAGGCTTTAAAATTTCATTTTGTATAATGAACTTGAAAAAATGGGTAAAGATGTAACAGAATAATCGATTTAAAAATCTCTCTTGAACAATTCAATTAGAATATTGATTTGGATATTTGGATATTTCAACTAACTTTGTAATTACTTCCCTCTTTCCTCCTAGACTATGTATCACTGTCCTAACGTTTGCATATCATCTATTGACCTAATCCTTTATTGTTTGTCTTTGTTTTCTTGTCTAATCCCCGAAATTGAACCCTTTCTCTTTGTGGTTGTGTAATGATAATGATAGTGTGTTGTTTTATGATTGTAATTTTGTTTAAATGAAGTTAAGGTTAGTCGTGGGGATCTCGTCTTTGGATCGTTTGCGGGTACTGTTTGCTTTTTGGTATATTATTATTATTTTTAAACAGTACCATAGATTTTATAGCAGGGAAAACTGTCTTTTATTCTTTCGACAACACAATAAGACGTAGTTTACCTGAAACGTGTAATGTATTTGTGCAACACAACACATTTCGGACATTCTGATCACACACACACACATACACACATGTACTTGTCATATGCTGTTTTGCATGGAGGATTTCATCATGAGCTGACATCAGTTAGAGAACCAGTGGAAAACCTGGGAGTACTGGACAGCTGTTTCGTCCTAGTTTGGGACTCTTCATCAGTACGCACCCACTGGGGTTCGAACCCAGGACCTTCTCATTACAAGGCGAGCTCGTAGACCATTGAGCCACTGGGACCCGACCAAATGGCCAGCCCATGAACTCTAACTTCTGCCAATTCATGACATACTTGAAAATTGATCTGATGCTCACTACCGACTGGCCTTATTCAGGCAGTTAACCTGGGGTTCTAGTGGGAAACCGTGACTAGTAGGGTACAGCAGGTTGAAGATGAGGCAGTAACTCATCGAAGAAGCAATTGCGAAATGGTCGCGCCATGTCGTTAATTGGTAGAAGTTAGAATTCAAGGACCATTGGATCAGGTCCCAGTGGCTCAATGGTCTACGAGCTCGCCTTGTAATCAGAAGGTCCTGGGTTCGATCCCCAGTGGATGCGTACTGATGAAGAGTCCCAAACTAGGACGAAACAGCTGTCCAAGGTAGGTTTTCCAGTGGTTCTGTAACTGATGTCAGCTCATGATGAAATCCTCCATGCAATCAAACAAAATCCCTACAAAACCAATACTTGAAAATGTACTGGTTTATCGAACGCAAGAAGGCATGAATCGTTACAATACAGGTCAGATTGTGTATAGGTCAAGTTCACAAATAATGGATAGGCAGATGAATCAAAGGTGTGAGTAGGAAAGAAATAAAACCAAGCAAAGAAGGGGTTCAAAATATTATGAAGTAAATTGATCATTCGTCCTAAAGTGGATTACCAAGACAGGTCGAAAGTAATAACAAATAACTTTTGGACACATAAGACAGGTTTAAGTCTTTTTATGGCCAAGGCTACAACGAATTTAAGTATGTGACCCAACCTTGTTTTATATTTAGGCTTAAAGGCATTGTTGAAATCAACAAAATGACACGTATTATTTGTATAAATATAAAACTTGGGCACTGTGGTAGAGTATAACTCCATTATAGATAAGATTTTATTTTGATAAATCACACAGTGTTATACAGTAATATTAACTGATGACGTTTCGAGCACAAACTATTGCTCATAATCATATCAAGTCACTCACTTTGTTTGTGCTCGAAACGTCATCAGTTAATATTACTTACTGTATAACACTGTGTGATTTATTAAAATAAAATCTTATCTATAATGGACTTATGACACGTCTCTATAATGTGCTTCGCTATAGATGATGTTGGACATCTATTTCCGGGATCACTTGGATCCGGAGATTTTATTTGTTGTTGCAGCCATTTTCGAATATGTTCTGTAGCCCTAACCTGCAGAGACCGATGGGTCTCCCCATGTACGTGTGTCCACACATACATGTAAATTGATAAACACAATGAGATGTGACACTAACGTTCGGTTTACAGGGCAGAATAGTTCTCGTTTTCTCTATAAGTTTAACTGCATAGTAATTTCTATAAACTGACGTGCCTGAGTCTTTGTTTAGAAACCAGACTTTGTTGATCACCCCTGAACAGCAAGGATATATAAACATCCTTTTTGGGAACCGATTGGATTGGTAGAGCTCTTTCGTTGACACTTCCGTAACGCCTAAGAAATCTCAGCGGGTAATTGTTATCCAACAATATTTTAGTGAGGTGTTGTCTTTCTTCTTCAGTTGTATCGGCAGTACATATGCGTTTGAACAAGATACTGCCCCATCCATGTGGACTTTCTGTAGACAGATCGTTTTACTGACCCATCTTCTCGGTGGGTTATGAGTACATCTAAAAATGGCAAGCAATCATTATTCTCTTTAACGTATGTAAGCGATATACACGTTTCAGATAAACTACATCTTCTTATTGTGTTGTCGAAATTCATAAAAGGAACTAATTGTCTTTTTGTTGTCTTCGGGGCAATTCAGGACTGTCCATCATTCAAGGAAGTTATGGTTAGCTTTAGAATAGAATGCAAAGATTGGCTTTCATCTTCCAGACTACAACACGTTAGTTTTTGTCGTTATAGACGTTACATCAAAAATATTCACAATACAACTTGAGGAAGTTAAACAACGCTTCGACCTGCCATCTTTAGCCTGACCAATTAGAAATGTGAACAGACTTATATTAGATAAAATAAGAAGTTGCAGCGAAGGTATCTGTTGTTCAGTGTGTGATTTCATTATCTTATCAGTTGAATGAAGATAATTTTTTGTTAACATACTAAGAAAAATCACAGATGTGAAGCAGGAAAATTACAAAGACCAAAGAAAGCAACACATTATGTAGGCGTGAAATAAAATAAGGTTACGTGATATGTAGACTAATTTTTCAAAATTTTCAGGGTGTCATCAAAGAATGCACCAAAAACAGAGTGAAGATAACATTTCATATCACTGAAAATGAAAATATATCTACATATATATAATGAAGGAAAGAATTGAGAAAGCCATACTTACCTATTGAAGAAAAGAAGAAATCTGCAGAATTCAACAAAATGAAACTGACTACCAACAGACTCCTTCAAGAACTACAACCCAAAATTGGAAATTCTCTCTCTCTCTGGTTTAGGCTAAAACCAAAATCTTATGTACCCTCGAGATTTTACGGTTAACCAAAAACACATAAACCCACAGTCCAATTAAGACTAGTAGTAGATTTTACCAAGTCACTGGCATACAACCTCTTCTCTAAATATTTATTTTTGATACTGAAACCAGTGCAAAAGGACACTCATATAAAGATTCAAATACAAAGTAGTACAACGAGGAATTGATCCAGAAAATATTATGCTAAGCTATAATTTCAACTCATTAAATACCAGTATTCCCATTACCGAAAGTCTTGATATCATTTTCACCTTACTGGAATCAAACACAACCCTATCAGTGGAGACTAGTGAAATAATTAAGAGCCTAAGAGATTCTGTCTGGAAAGTAATTATTTAACATTTAAGGGGAATTTATATAGACAGACAAATGGTGTTACTATGGGTTCATCAGTTTCCCGAATAGTCGCTGATCTTTTTATGAATAGATTTGAAGATAACATCTTTCAAGCATAATCACGCCTAAAATATGGCTAAGATATGTATAGATGATACTTTTGTAGTGCTAAAACGAGATCAACACAATTTATTCTTGGAGAGACTGAACAGTCTATCTCCCAGCATCTAGTTTACTTCGGAAGCAGAATCAGACGTCGG